TTTCGACCTGAGAACTGCCTTCCAATACGGATTAAGTTCGTAAGTCGAGACCCCACTGTAGAAGGAACAAACGGGAGAAGTTACAGATATTGTATTAGCTCCAGCTCCTTCTTCCATTCTTCATGCCTTCTTTGCTTATTTGGTTTATTTATTTAAAATATTTGTACCCTGCCTTTCTCCTCAACAAGCACCCAATGCAGCAAATATCTTATCATCATCATCTTAGAATTGCAGAGCTGGAAGGGACCCTATGGATCATCAAGTCCAGCCCATCAAGTTGGAATCGAACTCCCAACCTCTGGTTCCACAGCCAGCTAGCTAAACCACTGAGCTATCGAGCAGTTCTGGATACTATCCACCCAAAGGCGGCTTACATCCTTGAAAGGCAATATTAAGGTTGAAAACAATGAGTATACAACAGTGGTCTACATCATTAAAAGATAATATTTAAAGCTAAGGAGGATAAAGGGGCAGCTTACATCATTAAAAGACAATAAAGCTGAGACAATTAATATTTTTCCTTGCTTGGTTACTCTCTCCTGCCCTTTTTGCCTTTCTTTTTTCAATTTGTTTCCTGAACTTACTTCCCTGTACCATCTCCCTTTTTTCTCCCTGATTCTCCTAGTTACAAAGCTAGTCATATTATTGGTGCATTGTGGTCAGAGGGTTTCTTCCACTGTGATTTGTAATGTCAGTGCAACGTGGTATTTTGAAACTATAACCTGCATTTGTACAAAGAGGAAAATGATGGATATGTAATAGTTCTGATGTTATCTGAACTATTTTAATTTATTGACAAGAACAGGAAAAGTCTTAGATGGAGGTGGCAGAAAGAATGGGCTGTGCCATTTGTTGTTAGCTAAAAAGATCAAAATACTACAAACTTTTATGAGGAAAGGCTGAAAGAATTGGGCATTTTAAGCCTTGAGAAAAGGGGTGATAGGATAGCACTTTTCAAATATTTGAAAGGCTGTCATTCAGAGGAGGGGTAAGATTTCAGTCCTCCCAGAGTGCAAGACATACAACAATGGGCTCAAGTTAAA